CAGACGTTGTAGTTCTTACGCCAAGCGACGAAATACTACCGTCTGCTTACCCGAGCTGCATATTCAATTCCCTTTGTTTTAGGAGCCAATCATCTGGCGGTGTTCAAAAAAGTTAGAGCCAATTGGAAGCCGCCTTATTGAGAGATTAGCTACTGGGGAAAGCCCTTGCACAGCATTGGAATATATTGTTTGGGTTGAAACTTGAAATTTGTTTACTTGCGTGGATATATTTTGGAAACTATAGCGTTGAACTTCACGATGTTTACGTAGAATAATATTGTTATCATCTTCTCGCATGTTCAACAAACAATCGGTGTATATAAAGTGCTAAAGCAAGGCAGTAGGCTAAATTTAAATTTTTGTTTATAACAATGACAAACAATCAATCGGGAACCAGGATATGTCCAAATGTTGCTCTTGATACTTCCTATATGCCATGACTTCGACGAAAACTTCTAAAAGATTAAGCTCTCATTGTCATGTAGAAAAGTATAGCCAAGTTAGAGTATAAACGTTTCGAAGTTTGGGCGAATTGGAAAATTCATCACGGCGCAATTTTAATACAAGTTTCTCGGGTTTGTATTGTGTTTACAGTTTACATTCAGAAGTGGTTGCACAAACAGCAAATTAGTTTACTTTGAAGCTAATATTTCGCTTTCTAAGCCACAGTATTATATAAAATTTTCTGTCTTCCGAGTTCTGTTGTCTTATAAAGATAAACCGTTCAAATTTCAGCGAAATATATTAATTCGGCATTTGATGCCGTCTGGCTAAGATTCATACTCTGGATTCATACAGTATAAATATGCCAATCCTGTCGGCGTTTTAAATATATTAAACCGAACATCTTTAATATCCAAATCTGATCATTAATGGTGCATTTTATTACCTGGACAAGTATCAGTATCTTTAAATTCAATTTATGTGCAATTTTGACCAAAATTCAACCGACGACTGCTTTCAAAATATATGTTTATATTTATTCCGCTCCTAAATAAACTGACGTCACTTTCCAGAATTTGGAAGGTAAATTCTGATTGGTCGACGTAGCGGAAATCAGTTTTGCGCTGACGGTAATATTTCGACGCTTGGCGTAAGAACTACGTCTGTGAGCAGGCTACACTAGTAACTCCAAAGAAGGGACTTTGAAATGCATCGTAACCAAGTAATTTCGTTTTTGATTGTGGGGATTGGATTATGTGAAAGCCTTGAACTCAATATCTCAGGATGTGCCGAAGGCTGTAAAGATCAGGTAATTATTAATATTTCTTGGTAAAAGTATGTTGAACGTGTGCAATATGTGATGGTAATTGATATACTCATTACTCAATTATATATATATATATATATATATATATATATATATATATATATATATATATATATATATATATATATATATATATATATACGGTCAAGATGACCGAGTCAGATAGAATACTTGAAGGAAAAAACCTGTAGAACAATTTAACAGTCTTAGTTGTAATATTTTCTGTCTATTATTTGTATTAAGAAACGTGTTTTAAACTTTGCTGCGTTGTTATGTGTTGCTAAGTTATTAGGTGCCGTGTAGGTAATTAAGGGGATTAAGGTAATACGAATTTGCATAACTAAGTGTATCGCAATGGATAGATAGGGATTATTTTTAACGCCGGTGTATACCTTAAAATCACGCGCGTGGCTTTGCGGGTGCATGCATATATTAAAGTACAACATATTTGTACACGGATCTTTTCGCGCGGGCGGAAAGAGCGGGCTTTGCGGGCAAAAATTTGCACAATATTTTAGTTTTTAAATTTATTTCTTCAAAATGTTTTACAAAATTTAGTAAGGTCTACTTCTAAGAGCGTAACGTCTAGGTGTTTTTGTTATTTTTAAAGAGTTCTCATATTCTTGTCTATCTTCTGGAGATAACTTTGCAAGTTTTTCCGGCTTCATTGGAATATATTTCGGTCTATCGCTCAATATAAAACGTTCATAATCCTCTCTTGCTTCCGGAGTCATTCGCGCTAGGTCACGTTCGGTCCAATCTGCTGGGTCGACCCAATTGTGAAAAAAATTGCGCTTGAGTTTTGGCCGTTCCTCTTCTGTTGGTGGTGGTGTAAGGAAATTACGTTTAGGAGTAGCAGGCACTGGTGGTGCTATCTCAACAAATTCATTGGGTTGTGGTATTTCTGCAGGCACTAGTGGAGTTGTCTGAACAGGAGCTTGAGCTGGGACATCCATCTTATTTTTGAATGTGAGAAACCGATTTAGTTGATCAGAGTATAATTTGCTTTTTTCCACTGCGCTTAGCTGTGGTGCATCCATAATTTCTTTCATTCGCTGCTCGGCATCATACATGGCATTTACAAGTGGTGGTTGTCGATACGACTGTTTTTGTATAAACTTTTCAATCTCACCGGGAAGTATGTTGGTCTTGAGTCGTTGTTGATCATCTGTTGTTGGCTTTAAATCCAACATCAAATACCCGTGAGGTCGGCTCGCAGCATCTTCATAACTCCTCATAAATTCTTGTACTCTTCCAGCATCTACTTGCCTTGCAAGCATAGAAATTTGCTGTTTATCTCTTGGTGACTTGAACAGCACGATATAATGGGCGTTTAGACTGACATTTCTCATTTCTTTGCCTTGATGGAATATATTTTGAACAATATAGATGATAGATAAATTCCGATGATGACTTCCTTTCGTAAAAAGATCAGAAATACGTTTATCTTTGCCAGATTGAGTCATAAGGTCGTCCAATACGACCAAATTCCGTTGCGATACGTCCAAGTAATCTGCGTTGTCGATGTCTTCGGGGATGCCTTTATTAAACTCGATTCCAGTCATCGTTCTCATCATATCAAAATAGGAGGGTTGCCATTGACCATAACACCAAATGATACGTTGAGGAGCAGGACTTATAGTTTTCTGTGCATTCTCCAAGAGAGATTTTACCCACACAGTCTTGCCGCTTTGGGTACACCCAGCTACGATACATGTGAAAGGATGCTGCAAAACTGTAGATCCTGCTGAGATTTCAACTGGTTTGCTTTGAACATCTCCATGGGCATTCAAAGTATGACGCTTGAGGTTGCCGCGTGTTGAAAATACTTTGGCACATATATTGCACGGAAAGGACATGTTCACACCACGAACGTCTAGCTGGAAGTGATAATAAGTTGGCGTATTCGTTCTATATATTCATTATTGCATCTATCCAGTATTATTCTGTATCTTTATCTTCCTTATCTTTATCCTTATCTTTATCCTTATCCTTATCTTTATCTTCCTTATCTTTATCTTCTTTATCCTTATCTTTATCTTCCTTATCTTTATCTTCTTTATCTTTATTCTTATCATTATCTCTCTTATCTTTATCTTTATCTTCCTTATCTTTATCCTTATCTTAATCTTTATGTTCCTTATCCTTATCTTTATCCTTATCCTAATCTTTATGTTCCTTATACTTATCTTTATCTTTATCTTCCTTATCTTTATCCTTATCTTCTTATCTTTATCCTTATCTTTATCTTCTTATCTTTATCCTTATCTTTATCTTTATCCTTATCTTTATCTTTATCCTTATCTTTATCTTCTTATCTTCCTTATCCTTATCTCCCTTATATTTATCCTTATCTTAATCTTTATCCTTATCTTCTTTATATTTATCTTCTTTATCCTTATCTTTATCTTCCTCATATTTATCTTCCTTATCTTTATCTTTGTCTTATCTTTATCTTTATCTTTATCTTATCTTTATCCTTATCTTTATCCTTATCTTTATCCTTATCTTTATCCTTATCTTTATCCTTATCTTTATCTTCCTTATCTTTATCCTTATCTTAATCTTTATCCTTATCTTCTTTATATTTATCTTGTTTATCCTTATCTTTATCTTCCTTATATTTATCTTCCTTATCTTTATCTTTATCTTATCTTTATCCTTATCTTTTAATCTTTATCCCTTATCTTATCTTATCTTCCTTATCTTTATCTTTATCTTTTAATCTTTATCCTTATCTTTATCCTTATCTTTATCC